ATGTGACTTAAATTAGATTTAAACCTAATCTAATTGTTAGACCGTATTTAAAGATGGATACTGTATGTTTGCCATCTATGGGGATGTGCTGGGATGAATCTGTAGCATCGTCACATCATTACAGACATAAGAGGGAATATTGTATTTTTACATTTACATTCAAGGCCACAAACATTCAAAAGCCAAAAACGATGGGAAACAATTTTCTAAATGATGTTTCACATCCTGCCAAGATCCTTATGCCAAGGCAACATCCCAAAATATAAAGATACAACAATTATTCCCACTTCGGCAATACTAATGGACCAAAAGGCATCCATTAGATGTATTATTCTACACCCATTCATTATTCACGTCCTGTCGTTCCTCTGCATCCACTAGATCATGCCCACAGTGAGGGAGGACTCCGGCTTCTTCTCCTGCCATGCCATCAACTCTTTTGGTGAAGACCGAGGAATCATACAGCTCACGGTACAAGGTATAACTTCACCTGACTGAAATGCTCAAATAAAGCCAGAGCAGATCCTTTTAAGCCTCACAATAATGCATCCTCCAGTAACACTGAGTTAACTTTGGGCCTTGTAGAGCCCCCGGACCCCCCAGAAGTGGAGATCAGAGAAGTGAAAGACAGAACCATCGCACTGCGTTGGACAATGGGGTTCGATGGCAACAGTCCAATAACAGGCTTTGATATTGAGAGCAAGAATAAATCAGGTACAGTGAAGCTCATTTAAGTCCATAATTACAACACACTGGTGTAATACCAGTCTGGAAAACAGCTAGGCCAGTAGGGACATGAATTATCAGTGCATTCATTTAATCTCAAAGCTATAATTTAATGCACTTAGTCTGATTTGACCTCTTGAGTTCAGGCCCACCAATAAAACTTGGCCTTTCCCCCCTCAGCCTCCTGGGATACCGCACAGAAGACCAAAGACGTCTCCCCTCAGCTCAACCAGGCCACCATCATCGACCTTCACCCTTCGTCCACCTACAACATCCGCATGTTTGCCAAGAACCTGATTGGGAAGAGTGAGGCCAGCAATGAGCTCACCATCACCACTGATGAAGCAGGTGAGAATTAAGAGATTGAATCGCTCACAAAGCCAAATGCACTCTGTGCTGTTTTTCTCTGCAGAACTAAATAATGCAAGCGCACAATTATCTGATTTTCAGCACTGTGAATAATGTACAGTGAGACAAAACTCGGTGTAGCAAAAACGCACGGCGAAAGACAACAATCAGAGTGTGAGCAGAGAATTAGAGACAGGAGGCAAAAGGAGGTGAAGAGCCAACTGTGTCACTTCATTAACAGCCCGGTGACATCAGCCCATCGGCTCTGATGCATTATTGAACACACGCTGACCCTGCACTAAAAGCAAAACTTTTCAATTAGCGGCCTCGGTAGTAAATGTCACACTCTGGTCAATAGAGAAAAGCAGGAGCCCTTTGCAAATTATCCCCCCAAGTGCTCCCCACTCTGGCAGCCTCCCCTCGCCCTCAGCAGCCACCTACATATACAAGCTCCGAATATTTATCCACAGCCTCACTCATTCAGTTGGTTCGATGTGCACACTTTAATCAGACGTTTATGTCGTTGACATGATCTCAGCTCCTGACGGTCCACCTCAGGATGTGCAGCTGGAAGCCCTCTCCTCCCAGAGCATCCGAGTCACGTGGAGGGTAAGTTCATCTGATCCTGTGTGTTACCATAGACTGAATGTGTGCAGTCTTTAGCTGTATCCATATAGATACAGATTAATATATATATATATA